CATTTTTACACTGAACCTCTAGAAATGAAAATGGGCACCCATTTAGAATTGATCTGGCTATCCTGTCAGGCCTGGGGATAAGACCCTAATCTCTTGTTTTATTTTATTATACTCCACATTTTCTTTTTGTGTTTTGTCTTGCACTCCCTTCCTACAAATTGTAAGCCGCCCTGAGTCCCCTCAGGGAAAAGGGCGGCCTATAAATGTCAAATAAATGACTAAATGACTAAAAATGACCATTTATGCAGTTTAGCCTGCTTGGGAAAGATATGTTTTTTTTTTTTTACTGTATCCTCATATCCCCTAAATACTGAAAATGTATGCTCAGTTGGTATATGGAATAAAACTTCAATGTACAATAAGTACAAATGTTGTATTATTTGGATGATATTGTCTCAACAAAAGCATGGCTGTATATTATAAAATGTGGTTTTCAAATTTGAAATATTTCATTTATCTACTGTATTATGTTAATAGGATTCTGTGCTGTTTTAACATGTTGCCAATTTCTGAAATTCATTTGATAGCTTCTCCTTCTATGCGTGGATCAACACCTTTAGATGTTGCAGCAGCATCGGTAATGGATAATAATGAGCTTGCACTGGCTTTAAGAGAACCTGACTTAGAGAAGGTAAATCATAAGTAATATTACAGAGTCTATATTTTGCAAGTCTGCATATATTTCTTAACATTCAGTAAGAGCAGTCTGCATCCTGTTAGCAATGTAATTTTCATATACAAGAATCCCATATACATTACGACTCACAATTCATACTATCACCTAGAAGTTTAATAACTGATTGGTTTGCCAGCAACTCCAGTCAAAAACATTTTGAGGTAGGGATCTTATTTTGATATTATGGTGCAATATGTAGTAGATTTCCACAGAATCTGAGAATGAAAATGTCAATGATGGACCACCAATTTGGATACAGCAATTAACTTATATGGAGATCTCTCTCTCTCTCTCCCTCCCCCCTCTCTCACACACACAGACAAACGGAAGGGAAGCTTGGTTTTAGTTTCATCTTAAAAACACCAAGCTTTCTTGGAAGAGTAGATCTATGGACAGAAAATGCCATGCGTCTGTGAAAAATGCCATCAGTCTGTGGGAGCAACATGAAAAATAATGGGAGACAGAAGTACCAGAAATACAATTTATTAAAAAGTGATCACTAACATAAGAGAAAATCAGAACTGTATACACTTTCCAGAATAGAAATAAATGTAAAAATTTAGTACATTTATTTTTTCTGTAGATGTATTGACCATCAGATTGTTAATAAAGGTAAATACAATGAACTATGATTAAGCCAAAAGCAGAGTTGAAGGCGAAGGAGCTAAGACTACTATGGACAAAAGGACAGTCAGAGAATTATAGGTGAAGATTTAAAGAGCCAAGATGTAGAAGGGTGGAGAGTCTAGGAGTATGAAGTTTGTAATGGGCATCTTCAAATTGGGTAACATGTTATAAGACGACTATGGAATGTAGGCATTGGTAAAATATATATACATAGACAGAGAGAGGGGGAGGGACAAGGGCAGTAAATGCTTCTATTGTTTAATTTTGTCTTGTTCTTAGGTAGTTCGCTACTTGGCTGGCTGCGGTTTGCAGAACTGTCCTTTGCTAATTTCTAAAGGCTATCCAGATATTGGATGGAACCCAGTTGAAGGAGAACGATACCTGGATTTTCTTCGTTTTGCTGTTTTTTGCAATGGTAGTGTTAAGATACTACAGTTTTTGAATAACCTTGTTATTCCTAATCAATTATATCTTAAGTACATTTATTAATGTACCTGATGAAGTGCTGCTTCTCAGCATGTTTATGGCATCATAGATTGATAAATGTTTTCTTTTTAAGCAGCACTGAGAGAAACCTTGAGAGAAAACTGGACTCATTCAATGAATAGCATATCTTCCCTACCCAACACCATTGGCATCTCCTTCCCCACGTTCATCCTTCTGTGTTGCGAAACTTATGAAGCTCAGTTTATCCATTCTTTATCTGGATGCCCTATAACTTTTCTAACTTCAAATATTCTGACACCATGCTCTGACTCTATCTATCTCTGGCTTGCCGGTTGTGTTGTAACGTTTCTCAGTGCTGATTTCACATCTAATACAAAATGTGCTGAAATACAGTTATTAGAAAGTAAGAGAGAAGAGTCAGGAGACTGTTCTAATGTGGTGGCTGGAATAATTTCTAGTGTTGTTATCTGAGATCTTTTTAAATGCTGATAAAGTTGACGGAGTTTCTCCTAGTTTAACTGTTTAATTCAGTTCTTAAAGTTTGCTTTTGGGTTACAGATAGTGGAGTTTCAGGCACAATGTAGGTTCTCCTTGTATAGTTGTTAAATTTCAAAATAAATAACACTGTGTGTGTGCATATGGGTGTGTGTAGATAAATATTGGGCTTCTTTATCATAAGTTATAGAAACTAATTCCAAATTTTTGGCTTCATCAAGTAGTTAAATTTCTATTTGATTATAGGAGAGAGTGTTGAAGAAAATGCTAATGTGGTAGTCAGACTGCTCATTCGACGGCCTGAATGTTTTGGACCAGCACTGAGAGGTGAAGGTGGAAATGGCTTGCTTGCTGCCATGGAAGAAGCCATAAACATATCAGAAGATCCTACAAGAGATGGCCCTTCATCAACTAATGGGTCCACTAAAACATCGTAGGTAGAATGAAAATGTTTATTCCCTGAATAAAATTTCTTTCAGGAGTCATTGTTTCTAAAATGAAGTGTATGGTGCTGGTCTATGACATTAATAACATTTATTGGTTTGAAATTCTATTAGGCCTATCACTAATCCTAATACATTTCTTAAGTATAATATCCAATGTTAATTTGTGTTGAGAATTTTAATAACAATATGTTTATATATGATAAAAATAATAAGAATCTTCTTTTTAATATAAATACAAACCCTCAAGATTGGAAGAATATCAGTATAGCAATAGCACTTAGACTTATATACCACTTTACAGGGCTTTACAGCCCTGTCTAAGCAGTTTACAGATTCAGCATTTTGCCCCCAACAATCTGGGTCCTCATTTTACTCACCTCTGAAGGATGGAAGGCTGAGTCAACCTTGAGCCTGGTGAGATTTGAAGCATTAAAAGCATTTGTAACCATATATCCTGTTTATATCCTATCTGTCTATTGTAGATCACAGATAGGTAGATAGTGTTTAATTACTATCTTGCATAATCTAACTTACATGTTATAATTTCCATGTGTTCTAAACTTTTTATGGCATAGATCCTTTTACTGACATGGATTTTTCTGTTCACCAGCTATTATAATTGTTGAGCAAATGGTCTTCCTGCTGTTTTCAGATTATTTTTTTGTCCATGTTGAATCTGCACTCTGATTGCCAACAACAGCATCATTCCCTTTGTAATTTAGAACTACAGAGAATTGTTATGAGTAATTACTGCTAAAAAAGCACCTTAAACATTTATATTTATGTGGAGTGGCAGTTGGAAGTTAATACGGCTTCATATCTTAGAGATGAATTTTCTTTAAATGACTGGAAGTGAATTTGTCTTTAAAAATGAAGTTGCTTAGAGAAAACAGAGAGAAAAGGAAAGTTTTACCTCCACCCCCACCCCGCAAGACATATCTGAGCTAAGTCTTTTCTAAATGGGGGAGATTAAATGTGTGCTCAAAAGTTAATCATATCTTCTCTTCTTAGATTCTTCCCCAAAGATTCAGAGGATATTTCTATTCCATTCCCAACACCTCCTTCCCTCGCATTCATGCACACATATTTACAGTCTGGCATAAATATTTATGATTTGTATACCATATTTGAAAAATAGAAAATAGAATATTCTATTATATAAGATATTAAATGCCTAAAAGGAATAAATAAGATTCATTGTGCCTGTGGGCAGGTGGTTTATGATATAAAAAGATATTAGAAATGTTATGTGTCTATACAAAAATGCCCCTTCCACAAATCCCACCAAAAAAAGCCCTCTATTTCGTATTATTTTAGACCAAGGGCTTAAAATTGGTATAAAACTTTCACTATAATCCTAATTGTTTTATCTGAGCACTAAAATCTAAGTTTTAACTGGTTATGCTAAGGCTTGAACATAGATATGACTAAAGATACATTATATAAACAGATTTAATACAGAAATTATTATTCCTTCACTATTTTTAAATTTCTTTGAAAAACCGAACAGAAGTGAAGTAGAAGAAGAGGATGATACTGTTCACATGGGAAATGCCATCATGACTTTTTATGCTGCTCTGATTGATCTCTTGGGACGCTGTGCTCCAGAAATGCATGTAAGGATTTATGTAATTAGTATTTATTATTTTTGTTGAATTTATATCCTATCTGTGTTAATAATGTGAACCAGAATGTGTCATTCTTCACCCTTTTTCTGATTCAAGTATTCCTGAATTCATGGACTTGTGGGTGAAATAGTGGTACCCATGAACAAAAACCAGCAAGTTCTGAATAATGACATGGTTTGCAGGAGTATGAAATCTTCAGCAGGATCAATCTTATCTCTGTGTAACCTAGTGAAGATTTAATGTTATAGATAATTACGTGGCGGAGAGGAAGAAAATAATAACAGTAAAGTAGGAGACACAATTAAGTACATGGAAAAGATGGAAGAATAGTCAAATAACTATTCTATGAATTTCATGTTATATTTGTGTTGATATAGATCACTTCAAAGTTCATATAGACATGGTAAAATTCAAATTTTTAGTTATTGTAGGTAGAATTTAGGATCAATATACCTACTTATTCCTTGACAGTGAGATAGGAGAAAGAATCTCCTTCAACTTGTACCACCAAATTTCTTGATTGGATCCTGCATGGGGAAAGGAAAGAAGATGAGTATAAATAAGTATTTGTGTGATAGTGATTGTTGAATGAATAAAGTAACTTAAGCTAGAATAAACTCACTTCACATTGTAGCCATAGGGAAATCAAATATGTGATTTGATTTTTTATAATTGTGAACTTCTCATTTCTCTTTTTTTGACATAAATAGAAAGGAATGTTAATATAATTGCCTCTTCAGATCCTTCAGGGGAATATTTATCATGAGAACAGCACCTCCTTTTAATAGTGCATCATTGGAATATGATATCAGGCCCATCTTTGAACAAATGTTGAGCTCTATGAGATTTCAATGCAGTTATATTCTGTTAATTCACAGAATTATTATCTGCACATGCATTTATAATTAGCTTAATCATAGAATTCTTATGTATAAGGATATATCTGCATTCTTTGATTGCTGCATTCTCATACAAGCCATCTAACTATTTAATTGCCTTATTCCATTAGCTCATCCATGCTGGCAAAGGGGAAGCCATTAGAATCAGATCTATTCTGAGGTCCTTGATTCCTTTGGAGGACTTGGTGGGTGTAATTAGCATTCCTTTTCACATGCCAACAATAGCAAAAGGTAAGAAAACTTGCAGTTTTTCCTTCTATTATTTATTACGAGTGACTTGATTATTTCTTCTTCAACCTGTGTGTAAAAATAGTTTTCTCTCTACTTCCCCCTCCTTTCCTTTCCTTACCTTCCATCTCTTTCTCTTTTTTTCAGATGGCAATGTTGTAGAACCTGATATGTCAGGTGGGTTTTGCCCTGATCACAAGGCAGCGATGGTATTGTTTCTTGACAGGGTCTATGGAATTGAAAACCAAGATTTTCTTCTACACCTACTAGAAGTTGGCTTTCTACCAGATCTTCGTGCAGCTGCTTCATTAGATACGGTAACAAGTAACTTTTAACTTTTCTTAATTAGCATTTTCTGCTTTATCCAGATTTATCTTGTGCATACATTTTGATACTTTTAAATACTTTTTAAAATGATGAGTTAGTGTTTTCAGTTAAGGTTGAGCAACACTTTGGATTCAAAGGGAACAAGGTGTGGGGGAACTTCATGTACCCCAGTCTTCAGTTCCTTAAGGCAATGGTGATTTATCTGGAGTTCCCTTTTGTCGTTGCTGTATTATTCTTGGAAAAGAAACATTTGGTTTAAAGCTTCTGAGACCTGGGAGCTCAGGTTTCAAGTTTAGTAGAAAGTTTAAAGTGAACACAGTTTCTCAGTGTTAATTAACCTTAAAAATGTCATTTAGGTTAGTAGAGAGAATGAGTGAGGGCTCCTTGCATTTTGTATTGTATAATATTCATCTAATATGTGGGTTTTGAAGTTAAAACCTTGACATAGCAACATAGACTTCCAGTTTTAAAAAATAAACTGTAATTCAAGCACAAATGAAGTGTTCAAATGAAGTGACCTCTGTCTGGTTAAATATCTGATTGTTATTGCATAAGATGATGCACAAATATCTCTAATAATAGGCTAAATCCAGGTTGTTGTGTCATCACTGCTATTTCAAAATGAATGCAATTTTAATACGGGAATAATAAAGCAAATGATATGTTTTAATTATTTATACTGCAGAAATTGGGGCAACAGTGAGATAGCCAAAAGATGCAGAAAACCTTATTGCCATCTAGTGGTCCTTCAGTGTTTAGATTCATAATTTTAATAAAAGATTGGAATAAAGAAAAAATATATATAAAATATGTATTTCACATTCTTAATAGCTCTGAAAAGGATTAGCTCAAACATACTGCAACTGTGTGTCATTTTTGTGCATATCTGAACTGCTTTATAATTTGTTTTATAGGTTGCCCTAAGTGCCACAGATATGGCCCTGGCTCTTAATCGGTATCTCTGCACTGCTGTTTTGCCTTTATTAACAAGATGTGCTCCTCTTTTTGCTGGAACAGAACATCATGCTTCCCTTATAGATTCCTTGCTACATACTGTATATCGGCTTTCCAAAGGCTGTTCACTTACCAAAGCTCAGCGGGATTCTATTGAAGAGTGCCTACTCTCCATTTGTGGGTAAGGATCGATTATGATAGCATTGGTGGAGAGAGAAACACTAAAATAAAGGGAATACCTTCTGCAAGATATTCTTTTTAAAAATATATTGTTAATAAGAATTTTGATTACTGTCGTCTAACCTAATAGAAATTACACTTAGAGAAAAATAACAGAAAAAGTACACGAAAAAGGAAAAAGGAAAAAGGAAAAGAACATTAAAAAGGAGAAGAAAAGAAATATGTAAAGAAGAGATTTTCATGGTTGATTGTGTCAAGTGTGAAGAGATTTTCATGGTTGATTGTGTCAAGTGTNGTGCTTCAAATGCCAGAGTTTCTGAGCCAACATTTTGGTTGCTAAGCAAGAGCCTTGTTAAGTGAGTTCCACCACATTTTACAAGTTGGCCACGCTACCCAGTCACATGACTGCCAAGCCACTCCCACTCGGTCACATGATTGGCAAGCCACTCCAACTCAGTCACATGGCCAGCAAGCCACTCCCACAAAGCAGGCCACACCTACAGAAGAGGTTCTAAAAAAATTTGAAACCCACCACTGAGGCAGAGTGGGAGGGATGTGTGAAACCCCAGTAATTTGCTTGTGACTCACCAGTTTTAGAATCTCTGCTCTAGGATATTTTGAATAAATTCCATTTTTTTTTCTTTTTAGAAACCACATTAAATGGTATGGATTGGACAGTAATATTTTATAAGTAGATGTAAAAGGACTGAGATTTCAATTTACTTTTTTTTTTTACTATTTTTCTATTTCAAATAGGGACATTATGAACAATAAAGTTTTTTATCAGCATCCTAATCTTATGAGGGCATTGGGGATGCATGAGACTGTAATGGAAGTAATGGTGAATGTACTTGGAGGAGGAGAATCAAAGGTAATGTATAAGCATAATATACATTTAAATTTTGGCTCTGACACCAAACAAAGCTGCTTATCTCTTATTGAAGACCAGATCTTATTTGGTTTAATTTGGGATTCAAATTATTTTCAAATTTCCACATTTAACAATGGCACCCTACAAACTGGTCACTTAAGTCTAAGAATGATAAGTAAGTTTAAGTAATTTTTTTACAGACTGCAAACAGAGCAATCAATATTAAGTAAAGGTTTATATATGGATTTTGTTGTCAGTTCATTATGAAAGCTCTGAACATTATTACCTAGTTTCACAAAGAGCTTTCCATTGCAAACTTTCAAATTAATATTATCCTCCCCGCCAATAATCAAAAAGAATATGGTAGCATCTTTTAAGAGTAACAAATGTTGTTATAGGCTTTTCTGACCTGTGGCTTATTTCATCAGACATATGAAGTAGCTTAAAAGAGGTAAGATTTACATTTATTGGAATGAGCAAGGTTGGATTTATTAGTTGTCTGTGTTCAAGTAGGGGTTTATCACAAGTGTCTCAGAATGGTTGCATCTACTGTAGTACGCTTATTAAAAATGCATTGAATGGCTTCCGTTGTGAGCTGTAGGTCAGCAGAAATCTGTTTTTGTGGTTTCTCCCTGGGAATCAATCTGGCTCTATTGATTTGAATATTGATCTTGTTGAATGCTTTGTTTAATTCCATCAGTTAGCTTACCTTTGGCTCATAAGTCAGAACAAATGTGATTGTATTGTAGATCTTGGCTACAGAAAGTAGTTTGGATGATATATTCTAAAGGGAATATGGAAGCATGAGGTATGCACATCAGTCTATAGGTTTCCTGTTTAACATAATGTTTTTGAATCCATCAGATAATTTTAGTATGACATCAGTGTAGTAAATTTATTCTGTAGAGTGGACCAGGTTCAGGCTGATAGTGTGATAGTCTTAATGGAAATTAATGAGAACTTAACATTAACTTAACATAAGTTCCATTGAAGTTTGATGATTCAGAATTGAGGAAACATTTTTCTAGGTCAACCATGAATATGTTGGCATATTGTGGGGTTATGGGTGCACATCCAATACCTTGGCTGAAGACCCGCTGAACTGTTTTGCTCACCAAATAATTCTCATTTAAGTTTTTCTCAGCAGCTGCAGCAGCAGATAGTCTGAGCTATTTAATGATAAACTGGGAGATACCCCTTTATCCATGTTTATGCTACTTGTCATGTATTTCAGTTCATGAAATTACATGCCCAAATTTTATTAAAATACAGGCTTTACGGGGACAATTTAGTTTGTAGAACTTAATTAGTCCTAAACTGGCCCTTTATCCAAACACTTATACTGTCTGAACTGTATGGTTTTTATAGGAAGTGGAATTGAGGTGTGTGTGCATTTATCAACTATTCAGGTCACTATTGTATATAAACTAATTAGCAAACGTATGTACTTAGATGCCCAATTACATGACTATGTGATTTATTTTTCCATTTCTTCCTCCACCAAATGATAAGTTCAATATACAATCCTGTTTGGCTATGATCAAGTGAAGAAATATGTGCAAATGAAGAATGAAACTACAATAGCATATTTTTTTACCTTCTTTTTCCAACTGGTCATTAAAATTCAGTCTACACAGGATATATATACATTAATTGCCATATATTTCAATGTGCTAATATTATCTAGTGTGCATTTATTTGAAGGATGTTGAAATACATCAGTTTAGTTATTTGCTAACTTTTGGTTTTCTGCAGGTAAACCTCTCTACAGATAAATGTAGAGATACTGTATGTTGAATTCTGTCTACTTAATAAGGAAAAATCTAGTGAACAATGACTATTGAAACCACTTGTCAAGAGATCTTGTGGCATGGGCTGCCCAAACATTTATGCAGGGAAATACTGAGAGAAAGCGGGGGAAAGGTTGAGGCAATACTTTAATTTCATGTCACAGTTTAGTGCGGGACGGGCATACAATGATGGAGAAGTCAGCAAGCTTAATTGGCTGACATTAACTTGGCAATCTACCATTAAAACATTTCAGAAAAATTCAGCAGTAATTCTAAAGTATGAAAACAGGGTTGGTAGTTGAAGCAGTTAAGAACGTATTTTCTAAGAGATAGAGCTATCATGATCATTTTCAAAGAAGGGATTACTTGAAACAGTAGAGATGGGAGACTTTCAAGACAATACATTTGGTCCGATGTATGTTTTGATCCTAGGAAATTATTCTACCTTTTGTTGCGCCAATAACAAAATTTAAAATTAAAACTTAAACTTGATAGAAAAGTCTTTCTTTGAGCAGAGAGAAAGTTTGAAGGCAGAGGGACTGAAATTATAGAATCTGCATAAAAATGAGAATATGGAGGAGGGTTTTGCAAAGCAAAATTCAGGCTTGATTTGTGAGGAGAAAGGGAAGAACATTCTGGAAATGTCAGAGAGCAGACTATTAATAAGGAGCAAATATTTGTTGGTTTTTTTTAACCTAATATCAGAGCCAGCTTTTCCCAATGCAGCTCTTTTTCTCCTATTAGGCAATACTTAGGATGCTAGGATTTTCTTGGTCATGTACTTAGAATTTTCCTTTGTTGAAAAATTGGCCAAAGTGTATTGGAATCTTCAGTTAGCCACAATGACACTCTATGATATCATAGCACAAGTTCTGTTCTTGCATTAATCCACTATTTGCATTCAAATGTCAGGGGAACACATTTCATGCCCCCCTACTTCTGCCAGAGAATTTTTACAGTGGAGCCATCACTTGATTTGCTTGATAATAAAGGTCACATCCTGTGGTTTTTACTAATGTACCATCTTCCTTGGATGGAGATTCTTTGGTTTACAATTTTTAATCTCATGAATAATGGAACTGAACTGAACTTTCCATTTATCTATTATGACCAAACCTCAATCTGCTTCATTTTATAATGCACAGAAACAACTTTAATGGAGCCAAAATTTAAGCAATCAAGATTTGTTCGATTCTCAAATATGTATCTAGATACAGTATTGGAGTTGTTTTGCAGAAAATTACATAAAAAAGGAAATAACTTTATCCTCAGGTTTATATATATGTACTATTCTTTTCTAACATAGTACTGTTTGTCTAGGAAATCACCTTTCCTAAGATGGTGGCAAACTGCTGTCGTTTTCTGTGTTATTTTTGCCGCATCAGCAGACAGAATCAGAAAGCCATGTTTGACCATCTAAGCTATCTTTTGGAAAACAGCAGTGTTGGACTTGGTAAATGTGTATTATATTTTCCCTACCATACACTACCCATTTTGTATTTATTGCTGTGAACTCTTTTTGGGGTTCACAAATTAATGGCTACTTTGTATATTCATTCTAAGATGTTTCAAGGCTTCCAACACCTCTTAATAATGAATTATTCTTACTTTTATTATTATGTGCTATCATTACTTTTATTATTATGTATTATTCACTGGCTCCCGATACTCTCGCCCACAGTTNGAAGAGATTTTCATGGTTGATTGTGTCAAGTGTGAAGAGATTTTCATGGTTGATTGTGTCAAGTGTAAACAAGCTTAATAACTTGTTGTCCTATAAGGTTAAACAGATAACTCTTCATCCCATATACTATCTCTTCTCCATATAAAATCCATATAACATTAATCCTGGTGTCAGCAAAAATTCCATAAAGGGCTGCCAAAACTTTGCAAAAATGTTTTATTTTACCCCAATCAAATAAAACAATTTTATATTTCTTCTTTTTACTTCTACAGTCATTATCTTTAATTCAACCAAACAGTATAGAATTTTCAGTTGTTCTGATTTCTTCAAAGCTTTAACAAGCTTCTTTTGCAAATCCAGCAAGAAAATATTTTAATAGCTTTAAGCTGTGCAATAGGCCATTTAAAAAAGTCATTAGAAAGTGAAGCTTGCAAACTTAATGTCCTTTAAAAGCAAGATGGCTAAGCTCTTCATCGTCCAGTGCTCAAACCTGCAGAAAATTGCTGTCCTGCAGTCTCTTCACAAGAAGCGGCTGTCTAGAGCACATATGGGTATTCTCCTGTCCTTTTGTTATCCAAAAAGTTTCCAAGGAACTGGTCTACTTGCCAGTTCCTCCATTTTTGCCATGGTCATCAGTTCCAGAGACATTAGTCAGTCCACCACACCTCCCCTAGAAGTCCTGTAATAAATTATTCTTGAGGCAGTTGCTTGCTTGAAAGAAAAACAAAAATAAGCTTCATTTAGGAAACAACATGTAGATAGCATGTTCTTACAAAAGTAGACAAAAAGGTGTAGAGTCCCTCTGCTAACCGTTTTTGTATCTATTAAGCCAAGAAGTCAATATTTTCATGTATGCAAAAAGTTTGTGCAGCAGGAGTTCAATTCCAGTGGGATATAGATTGATAGTAAAATGAATCAACAGATCAAAAGTATCTGTAATTACTTCAACTATTAGCATGTAATAAATAGCAGATGTTAACTAATATGTAATGATTATAGTAATAATAAAATAGATTCCAGGGCTGATGCTGTTAAAATGCTATAACATCTAATGAACAAATAATGCATTTCTGAGGTATCCTCAAATGAATGAGCATTTGCTGAGACATAATATATAGTTAGTTGGTTAGTAAATTATCCACAAGTCAACAGTGAAAAACAGGAGTTAGTTAAAATGTAAAATAAATTGTTACGTTTCAGACATGCTTGGAGGAAGGGATATATTTATCTGATTATGCCTGCTTGCCAAACTCCAAATATGAAATACAGTTTATAGTTTTTTACTATATTACAAAAGACAGAACATAAATTTTGTTAAAAGAAAATAACTGCATGCAAAAGGTTGAAGATGAAATAATGTTAAAAGAAAACAACTGAATATGAATTCGGCATTTTTATTACCTCCCTCATTTTTTGGTTGCACACTGGCTTTGTTCAAGCATGAGTCTGAACATATTTTATCTCCATATTTCATGTACTGTTATCTTTTAATCAGAAATACTGATTAAGCTTCTGTAGTGATTACAGATTACTCACTTGCATAATCACAATAATGGTTATAAATCTAGTCTATGTTGTACTGAACCTTTTTTTCTGCTGATAGTCAGCTAAGACCTTCAATGATGCAACATTTGTTGAGAAGATTAGTGTTTGATATCCCTCTTCTAAATGAACATGCCAAAATGCCTCTTAAGGTAAGTTTGATTTTTTATAAAATATACAATTAATGTCATTAGGCATCACCTACCAGAAGAAACTGGTGATATTCTGATTTGCCTTGAAGTAAAAAATATTGGCCAATCATGGTCAATGTTACATCCAATGCAATATTCAAACCCTAAATGTAGGATGATCACAAAAACTATGTCATGGTTATTATTCTTTCGGTTCCACTTTGATAGTTCAGTTGTGATTCAAAGCTGGATACAATTTAATATTTGTTATTTCAATTGTGCTTACAAAAAGCTACATACTGTAAACATTGAAAACACAGACTTGGCCTTAGGTTTGCTGTATATAAAGGATGCAGCAGAATTGCAAAATAAAGTAATTATCTCAGCTAGAGACAGGAGAAAATATTTGTCTTACCTTCATACAAGTTGTATGAAGATTATTTAGAAGACCTATTTCATTCATTATTTTGGAAATTCTCCCCCATATAAAAGAGTGTTTTGCCAAGACCTATCAGTGATTAAAATGATTCAAATCGTATTAAGTAAGACCATCCATAGGTTTGGAGATAATCTAGAGATATGAAAATAATTATTTGCTGAATGTTTATCTTAAAAAAGTACCCAAAATCCTTATACTAATTTAACAAATAATAGATTAATTCTGCCATAATTGTTGATTGGGTTGAGATAATTCCTTTAATCTTTATGTCACTTACCTGTTGCAAAATTTGTGCATCTGTCATTTAAAGTGATTATATGTAACTACCTCATCGAATTATCAGAAAGCAAACTCTCATGTTTCTTTTTTAGTTGCTGACAATTCATTATGAAAGATGTTGGAAATACTACTGTTTACTAGGAGGGTGGGGCAACTTTGGTGCTGCATCAGAAGAAGAACTTCATTTGTCCAGAAAGCTGTTCTGGGGTATTTTTGATGCCTTATCTCAAAAGGTAACATTTTAAGATGTGATATATTAATATGTATTAATTATATATTAATAATTGTAGTTCATGTTAAATATGCAAGGCTGCATATTAGAAAACAAAATTATAATGATGCTTAAATATATCTTCTTTAAAAATTAATTAGCTAGAAAATTACTTTAATAAATGTTTATCCTATTCTGTAACTTTGTTGCCTTTAATAAAAGAATTATATTAAATGAAAAATTTGTAATAGTGGTGAATATTCCATTTGTGCTAGCAGTATGAGATAGGGATGAATATGAGCGGGCTAAATATTTATAAATAAAAGTTCATTTTTTAAAAATTCAATATATATTCCACCTTTCATTTGGGAGCATAAAGTGGCTTCTGTCCTGTTTTGTCCAGTACAAGAACACTGTGAGGTAGGTGGACCTGAAAGATGATGGCTGGCCCCAGATCACCCAGTGAGCTTCTATGGCTGAAGGTGGCCAAAGCCTGTAATTCCAAGCTTTACTCCAGTACTTTAATCACCGTATCATAAATAAATGCCACGCTGGCTCTCAGAAATTCTCCCATTGATTATTGTTGTTAATGTTTAGTATGTCATAGGGAAAGATTCTAGTTCTGAGCAAACTCAACTGCTAGTTAGAACTACCATCATGACCCTAGAATTGAAAAATATTGATTCAGCTGACAATTGTAAGTAACTCAGCAGACTCTCAAACCTAAAATAACTTCCCCTCTAAATCAACATTTGAACAAATGTTTGCCTGGTTAAAATCCTTAATTGCTAATCTATCTGCAGACTATGAAGCATCTCATGTTTCTTTTTCATTTTTTCCTTGTGTGGTCAATATTTATCAAATACAACAAGGCTCAGCTTCTATAGGGAACAATATCCCAATGGACTTGATGGCTCTTCCCTCTAGTGCAGGGAAGGGACTGAGATGAATACCCTCAGGAAGTGTGGCTTTGTTTTAGATAGAAAGCCTGAAGTAGTTTGACTTAAGAGTAAACTCAATTAATGGGTTTTTAAAAGTAAAACTAAATATAGTAATGATAGTGGTAATAGAATGTTGAGACCTTTCCCAGATAAATGGAAATTGTCTTAATTTTTTACCAGAGTTTTTTGCATCCTTTTTTGTCTTTATAGAAATATGAACAAGAACTATTTAAATTAGCACTGCCATGCTTGAGTGCTGTAGCTGGGGCTTTACCTCCTGATTACATGGAATCAAATTATGTTGGTGTTATGGAAAAACAGGCTTCCATGGATTCAGATGGAAACTTCAATCCACAGCCTGTTGATACTTCAAAGTAAGGATGTTTTCAAAGCCGGTATTTAGTTGAGCGTAACTTTTAAAATAATATGAAATAGCAGTAGCACTTAGACTTATATACAACTTCACAGTGCTTTACAGCCCTCTCTAAGCAGTTTACAGAGTCAGCATATTGCCCCCAACAATCTGGGTCCTCATTTTATCGACCTTGGAAGGATGGAAGGCTGAGCCTGGTGAAATTCAAACTGCCAAATTGCAGGCAGCTGGGAATCAGCAAAAGTACTGCACTCTAACCACTGCGCCACTACAGCTCATAATATGAATATTGTGTTGTTAATGAAAGTTGATTCTCAAATACAAAAATATTTAAATTATTTAGAAAGAGTATTTCACATTTGTTTTCTAATAATCACATTACATTAAGTATAAGAACAATTGGCAATTTAAGTTTCCTTTTATTCAGTGACTGATTATTTTATTGTTTTCAAAATTGTTATAAAGTGATCCAATACCATTTTTGTTGTCTGAGATAATAGTAGAATTAGAGCAATGCAAATGCTCTAATATGAATATTTAAATGATTTTTAGGTAGATAAATTATATATAAAGAAAAAAACCTGTCATGAAATACTTATCTTTGCCTTGTTTGTTCTCACTCAGCATTATAATTCCTGAAAAACTAGACTACTTTATAAACAAATATGCTGAACATTCTCACGATAAATGGTGCATGGAAAAGGTAAAGTGTATGTTCACATCTATGTATTGTTTGCATCTCTCTCTTCCTCCCTTCCTCTTCTTCTCTCTGTCTCTCTCATGTTGCTGGGATATATGTAAAGCATTAGGGAATGAATCTTGCTAATGATCTGACTTTATTTTGCATTTCAATATTCATCATGGAATTTTGTTTATGTTGCATTAATTCAAACATTCTAATTCTTTAATCAGATTTTTAAATTTTTAAGTGCATTTACTTTCTCTAAGAAAAGGATCAGCTCAGTTTTTACATTTTACACAGATCCATTCAGTTAACAAGTTTATTTTAATAAGATTTTTTTGGTATCACAGTTATCATCACATAATTGGATGGCTGCATTTGCATGGTTGTCTTTTACAATGCCGTTATTGTTAAAACAGAATAGTTTTTTAAAAAAATGGTATTTGTCCCAATCCCTTTCACTTGAAGAACACCTGTATCTCTCCTCTGAATATTTAAAAAAATGGAGACTGATACTGCAAGAAGTTATAATCATTAGCATTTTTTTTGCAGTGCTTCAACATAACCTGTTCAATTTTTGTGGTGAGCTCAAACATAGACATGCAGGTTCTTAGTACCCTCAATGAAGATTCTAAAGTACATTTATTGCACTATATTCCCTTCCACCCACTCTTCATTCTACTCAACAGTCAGTCGGCATTTTGTGTCCATTAAGCATGCTCAGTTTTTATCAGGCTTTTAAAAAAATTCTTTAGAGTTTTTGCCCCATAAGGTTTCTGCACCTTTGGAAATTTTGGGGTTTGTGATGAATTAATTCCCCTTGTGCATGATATTTAGGATATAGACACTTTTACTATGACCTCATTATCAGTTTATAAAAGCGATTGCTATACAAGATGAAAAATATTACATTATAATATACTGTGTAACACTTGTGAAACTAAAATTTGCATGACAAATTAAAGCCCAGGAGTTTTTAATTGCTGTTATAACAAGTATTAAGATTAGAAGAGAGTAGAAGAATCAAGATAAAAATATGGGAAATTTCATTTGCTTCATGAGCTTGGTATAGTATATTGATAGCATGCAAAAAGAGCATCCAAATCATAAACGGCATCAATATTCTTGATCAACTTATCCCTTCCTTTTCTTTAAACTTTTGTCAGTTTGCAAATGGGTGGATATATGGTGAAACATATTCAGAATCTTCCAAAGTGCAGCCATTAATGAAACAATATAAACTATTATCAGAAAAGGTAAGAAGTTCATGTCAGATTTTTTTGTTGTAATCTTTTCTTTTAATCATTGAAAGAAGCAGCCAATTTTAGAGCTTTCCCATTAATTAGAAAAATCCTTTAAGACTTGAAGAATATATGTTGTTTCTTCTGCCACATATAAAATTTTCAGTTGGAAAGGCAAGAGTAATAAATTCTGAACAGTCAGAATTTTCTCCAGATTCTTTGCATTATTATAGCACAGAACCTATGTGAATTCTCTCAGAACTCCAGCAGAAAGAAACATACTGCACATACCCAGCAAAAATAGTCACAGGAACTCTAGTCTCCATTTTGTTTCTCTTTTGCTCATCCCTGTCAAATTTCATCACTATAGAAGGGCTAAAGAGATTGTGTGTGATGAACTTTGTAATGTTTGCACTATAAAGGAGAGCACTAAAACTAGAGTTTGAAGAAAAAACTTTGCACCTATCATAATTTAGCCTTTGCTCCATAAATCCTTATAGATCTAAACATCATAATCACAGGAAAATAGTCTGTGAAGATTATCATTGAACCAGGATCCAATTATGAACTATGTATCTTACATTTGATCACTGGTTAAAGACTTAATTATTCTATCTTAGGTCAGGAAGTATATTTCTGTCAAACATCAGTATTTTAAGCTAATTCCAAAATATCCTCCTTTGTTGAGTAAATGCACTGCTTTTCATATGCTTGTCATATCACTTGCAAATCCCATTTAATCTCATCAGCTTTTGGGGTGAAGAAGTTATTTGAAAGGATCTGTGGGAGCAACTACACTGTCCTAGCAAAATTGGCCACTACAAAATTGATAATAATACTTTCTCCATAGGATGCTATACATTTCTCTTAAGAGTTTGGAGGTGGGGATTTTCAGGTTGGTAAAGCATGAAGATTTTATTCCTTCCCATGGATACTGATTTTTTTTAGTATCCCAAGATTTTAGCAATCTTCCTACTAATTTACTACTTACTGCTTAACCTGTCTCCTGGTTGTGATCGATTATCAGTCTCCAAATATCACAATAAAAGAATAAGTATAGGGGGTCTTCTGAAGTGTATGATACATCTTTCACTTTATGAGGGCATGGTATTTCTGCTTTTCCTTCAGTTACTATGATAGAATAGAAGAGAAGAGAAGAGTTAGAAGGGATCTTGGAGGTCTTCTAGTCCACTCAAACCAAAAGTATAAAAGGTTCATTTAATAGGAATTGTTTTCCTATATACTGCTGCAATTTAAGGATGGTACTCTTGTCCTTAGAAAGTAGTCATCAAATGCTTATAATATTTGTATTATATTTAATGGATTTTTACAGTTATCCTTTTTTCTTTTTGATTATTTCCACTTTTGTATCTCTTCTAATGTACTATATATGAGATATGAATATAAAAATTTAAAATAGTTATTTCATAAAGAAAATTTATATACATATTTGGTTATCATAAGGATGATAATACTTTTAGTGCTCATTTTCAAATTATTTATTATTTATTTTGGTCATAGAATAGCATAAGGCAGATAACAATCACTATAAAACAAAACTAATAACTGTGCATTCTGATCAGCCAGCAAAAGTCTAAATCTTTAACCTGCTTGGGTATTGTGTTGCAAATAGGAATATATATATTCCTTATATATTATAGGTACATATATATATAAAAAGGCAACGCAGCAAATTGGAAATGATTCCAGTTGCTATCGTCTTAAGAGTCTCGGCTCTTTATGTATGTTGCAGAATTTTCTTCCTTAAAGGGTCAATCAAGAGGAAGACATAGCAGGCATTTCTGTAAAGTCATAGCTTTATATTCTCATAGGCCTTTATAGACCAGAGTTATGACACTGTTATAGACTATGATTTTATAGATTTCACCTGGTTTTAATCCCTATACTGTGTAATTATAGTCTGGTATACTAGTCTTTATTTTCTTTTATTCTCTCAATGTAATATTTTATTCTTCTATTTCAGAGTGATTGTTATTTGTTTTATGCTAGTTTACAACCAAAATAATTTCTAATTGAATGTTTGGCTGCTAAGGAAGTTGCTTTAAAAGAGATGTGCATAGAATCAAAGCTGAGTTTTGCAGTCAAGGATCTGCCTTTCATATAGAGTTGCTGGGTAGTGGTCTCTATTATTTATACATATCTCAAATTCAATCAAAAGATTGGGTGCTACTAACCAGATGTGAGGACAGCTCTTTTACCACTAATAGGATCATCATATCTGCACTTTTTTCAGGAAAAAGAAATTTATAGATGGCCAATTAAAGAGTCTCTGAAAACCATGCTTGCTTGGGGATGGCGGGTTGAAAGAACGAGGGAAGGAGATTCTATGGCTCTTTATAATCGTTCACGTCGGATATCACAGACAAGTCAGGTATATTTTGAGCTGCAAGCACTTCTGATGATGTTACTTAGTAGCTTTATCACCAATATTTCCTAGTTATTTTTTAAAATACTATTTTTGAGGTAAAAGCTGCAGCATTCCTTCAGTGTGAGCATTGGCTTCCAAGTTCTATAAGCAGGGGGAAATAATCTAAACTTTATATAGTTTAATGCTCTATGTTTATCTTGTATTTGCTGTTTTTGAAGTAGCTAAAGAAAATGAAATTTCTCTTTACAAAATATTTTAGGATTGTGATTTTTATAAATAATGAATTTAACAGGCCAGTATATGGAAAGAAATGTAATTTTAAATGTAAACAAGCTTGAGAGAGAATATGTATTTTTCTTTTCTACGAGATAAATCCTTTCTTCAAGTAATACTGCTTCTAAATGTTTTGCGATACACATTTTCACTTTCATAAAAACTTTAGTGGAATTCCTATACAGCATTGAAATTCCTGAAATTAGATAAACTAATAGAGAAATATATGAAACAGCGATAAACTAATAAATTTGCCAATGTTTTCCTATTCCTTGACGGAGCTCTTCTGTAAGCTGTCATTAAACTTGTTCAAATATGTTCTATTGTTCTTTTCTTCTGTTAACACCTCCATTGATATTTATTCAGGTTTCTGTAGATACAGTCCATGGCTATACTCCCCGTGCAATTGACATGAGTAATGTTACCCTGTCCAAAGAGTTACATGTAAGTTGCATGGTTATTGTAATCAACATTAGGAATGTAATGTTTTAAGAAGTTTCCATGGCTTTTTCAATAATTACTTAATGCAGTTCTCTATCAATCCACTGATAGTTATCATTTATTCTCCAACTTTTCTGACAGATGCTTGGACCTGCAATTGGTCTTCCAAGAATGGAAGGGCTTTTGATACAGTGGTTCCAGCAGGTGGAAGGGTAAGAGGCAATTTTTGCCGATTCCTCCTTTCCCTGCAACGTTCCCTGCTACTTTCAACACTGATCTGGAAGGTTCTCCAGACCAGATTTAGGGAAGCACAAGGAGCTGAAGGGTGAATTGGCAAAAATTCCTCCTCCCCACCTCCCGAGGGAGCATGCCAGGAGCAGAATTCTGCTCCTGCAATTTCTGTAATGGAGAGAATTTGTGGGAATTAATTATCAAATTAATTATTTTAAAAAATGCCTGAAGTTGGTATTTAATTCTTTTGACTGGGACCAAAAATGCAACAATTATTTTGTTAAAAAAATGAAAACAAGCTTAACTAACCTACTAGGGAACAAATTGTAATTATTTATGTCTTTCTTCTTCCTTAGGCAATGGCTGAGATGATGGCTGAAAATTATCATAACATATGGGCAAAAAAAAAGAAAATGGAGCTTGAAGCCAAAGGTACAATCACTTTTAAAAATATATAAATGACCTTAGGCTGACCATCAAGAGTACTTGTTAAGGACATGCTGCATTTTGAAATAGAAAATTGAAAGGCCAAGAAATTAACATTCTATAGTCAAAATAGTATTTTCAGTATAATTTAGGATTTTATGTATGGTATTATGGGGGTCAATATGTCGTAATCTAAAGCAGTGGTCCCCAACCTTTTTATCGCCGCGGACCAGTCAGCCTTTGATAATTTTACCGTGGCCCGCTGAGCGCGCGCAGGGGTGGGGGGGCGTTGTTCGCGACAACACATTGATTGTTTATATATCAAATTGTTTTGATTAAACAACTTTTATTTTATTGTATTTAAACATGCCTTACAAAATAAAATACAATTACATAAATATAAAGTGCAAGGCTACGCTACTAGCGCTGTCTACGCTAGCCCTACGTAGCTGCGCAGGCGCTCTTAGGTTTTTTTCAGGAATCGGCCAGCGCTGAAGCGCTGAAAAGGAATGAGAAGGGCGGCGCTGGACACAGGGGGGCGGGGGGCCGCTGGTGACGTCAGAGTGCCACCAGCGGTCCAGTAACACCCCTTGTGCCAGTTAGCCCTAATTTGCATACAGAAAGAAACTATGGCCCCCGGCCGCTGCAGCGATCATGGCCCCCGGCCGCTGCAGCGATCATGGCCCCCGGCCGCTGCGCGGCCCGGTGCCAGGTACTCCATGGCCCGGCACCGGTCCGCGGACCGGGGGTTGGGGATCACTGATCTAAAGTAACCATTTCTGCAGTGCCTGACCTGGTGAAAGCATTAAAATGCATGCAAACAAATGTGATTCTAAGACATTTAGGCAGAATTAATTGTTGAATGACTTTTGCCACATATGACTTCGAAAATGTTAAATGAACTTCTAGTAAGAGTCTCTTGACAATGAGATGGGTGGCATATAAATGTAACAAATAAACTGCATAACAGGCTAATAATATGGATTGTAAGAGTTGGGATTTTCATTCTTAGCAATAAGTATTAGTGAATTAAAATATTAGCATCCGGAATGAAATATTACCTATTTTAATAATATGGAGGTGATGATACTAGAAGATATATCTAGCAGGGCAAAATGAATACTGTAATGTCTTTATGTTTTATGAAATTTAATTCTTTTAAAAATAATGCTATTGTTGTTATTTTGTCATTTAATTTCTTAATGCATTCTAGTGGGAGGAGGAAATCATCCCCTACTTGTACCCTATGATACATTGACAGCCAAAGAAAAAGCTAAGGATAGAGAGAAAGCCCAAGATATTCTGAAGTTCCTCCAGATCAATGGCTATGTTGTGTCCAGGTAAATGCTAATCAGTTATTGCTGTAGGCTTTAAAGCTGAAATAATCTTCATTATGTACTTTATGTGGCTGAAAAATGTACTGCATGGGAAGATTTGTTTTTTATAAGAAAATAAATACTATATTTTTTGGTGTATAAGACATACTCCCCCCTCCCAATTTTTTTTAATTTGTTCCAGAGGCTTAAAGGATTTAGAATTAGACACACCATCCATTGAAAAAAGGTTTGCTTACAGTTTTCTCCAGCAATTGATACGATACGTAGATGAAGCCCATCAGTATATTCTGGAATTCGGTAAATATTGTAAATATATATTTTATGTTATAAAATATAGCCTTAAGTTCTTTTACATGGTTAGTAAGAATCAAATGGCTATAAAAAGTGTTAAAAGTGTATTATTATTATTATTTTTGAGATACAGTTCAACACTACTTCTTTTTGAACTGTAACAGTTGAACACCTTCGTTAATAAAGACTTAATCCAAACACAGTGCTAAGTTGTAGGGTGGTTTCTCTGTCCTTGGTTTTAGTACATTGTAGTGTTACATTTGATATCAATCAGGTCACTATGGCTTCTGTAATAAAGAAATTATGAATTGCTATTCATCAGAAGTAATTTGTATTTTATGTAGTTGAGTTCTTAGCAAATGCTTTGGGGATTTAATTTGCTCTCCTAAAAAAAGAGAGAATCTTTGCCTTTTCAAGCTGCTAGTTACATTGCAAGACACTACTGCAGATTAATCAAGACTGAATTCTGTTTTTGTTTTATAGAGTATATGGATGCTATATACTGAAATTAAGTTTGTTACTGTGCTGCTGTGTGGGTAAAGAAGAACCTTAAAACATCTAAATAAAAATTATCATTTCAAGTCATGTAGTACTGTAGAATGGATAGATGCAAAGTTTAATTTATAAAGAGTATAATGCAAAAATTGGCTGTATTATATTTAATTACATTTATAATACTTTTTTTCTTATACAGATGGTGGCAGCAGAGGGAAAGGAGAACAGTTTCCTTATGAACAAGAAATCAAATTCTTTGCTAAAGTAAGTATATGCTATTTTTCTGTCATATTTATTATAACAAATTAAAAGTTAATATTATTCAACTATAAAGCATAGCTACGACATTGAGAACAAGCCACATAAATGCTGCAGATGGTAGCTCAGTAACATGTTCCTGCTTGCTAATAATCCAGTGACTTGTATTGATTTTTTTAAATTAGAAAAATAGATGCTAGAAGCAAAAATTATTCTTTGGGTAGTTTCCCATATTCTTGCATAACTGCTTCAGCAAAATGATTCTCAATTGCTGAGCTATTATTGCTAATTCAAGATCAGGCTTTGAGAGAATTTCTGCAATTAAAATTATAAAAAATAATAAAGTAAAAATATAAGAACATTAAAACTGGAAGCTATTTTTTTACCTCCAGATAAAAGGATAAAATTTTGATCTAATAGTAAACCCTACTAAAAGACATATCCTTGAGAAAAGTTGAATTTATGTTAATAAATCTTGCATATATTGCATGTTGACAGGTCTTTAGTGCCATGAAACTAAGGAATAAAAATAGTAGGAGTAAGAAATTGTACTAATCAGTATACACTATTTTATCTCTTCCATATGTTTATTTCAGGTTGTACTTCCTTTAATTGATCAGTATTTCAAAAATCACCGCCTGTATTTCCTATCTGCAGCAAGCAGACCTCTGAGCAGTGGGGGTCATGCTTCTAACAAGGAGAAAGAAATGGTAACCAGGTAAAAGCATATATAACATAGTATATGATAAAGTATAATAGCCAATTTGCATATTCTAAAACATTGGCAGTTTTATGGATATATTTAGAAACGTGAGAAGTAACAAAAATCCAACATCTATTTTATAAGATAAACTCTAAAAACTGAAATTTGTATAATTTTCTTGATCTTTCTCTTATACCAAGTAGTGTTTTCCATGTTTCGTCATCTCTTATATTCTCCCCCCTCCCTCCCATTGCATTTAACTAGAGAGGCTCCTAGCTTTTATGTTTCGGCAGCTGATGGTCGTCTTGAATACTAGAAAAACAGGACATAAATTATATACATGAATATTAATAATTTTGTAATTCTGTGTGCTCTCATTTTTGATTTCACCAATATATTTTTACATAAGGTGACATACAAGCATTAATCATATTTCCTATCTGTTATAATAAGAAATTCTAGAATTTCTTTATTTTTTTACTGGTATTACTGGTACAGATATACATGCATGCACATACATGCGAAAGTATATTATGGCTAACCTTCCTGTTCCCATCTTTGTATGAACTACTATAGTAAATTTTACAACCAGAAAATGTTATTAGAAGGCATACAGTTTCATCAACTATATCTCACTTCATCACCCAGTTTATGCCTTCTAATAAGATAATAATAAAATGTGTTACTAGTCCCCTTGTTAGATTACGTTTGATATGGTTCTGTTCATCTGTGATATCATTAACAAAGAGTCTTTTATGCTGGGAAATTTTGAAAGAAAGAAGTAATGGAAGAGCCAATGTCCTATGCCAATGTCCTATGAAACTAAAATAGGCCAAATATTTGATTCAGTTTATTCAATAGTAGCAGATAATTAAAATGGCATACACATAACTCATCATGTTCTCCTTTGTACATTTGTACTGATTCACTCATTCATTGCCTTTTGTTCTTATCCTTTTCTTTTTGAGGATCTTACCAACTCAATCGAACATGACTTTCACAGACATTCAAACTTTCTTCATATAGTCATTTTGTGATTGACAAAATTATTTTTTGTCAAAATTATTCTCCCTACACAATCAAACTCACCTCCACGAGTCGAGCTCTGTGTGCATGAGCACTCCAGCCCTTTGCTCGCGCAAGTTGAGCTGTGTCCGCGTGTAAGTGTACCGGCTTACTGCTCATATAATCCAGTTTCATTCTCCCCCATCTACCTGCTGGGCCTCCAAGCTGCAAAAGTTGGGGACGACTGTTTTATAGCATTTACTGCAAATTATTTGGGTTCTTAATTAACAATATGAGTATCCTTTTACATGTAGACAATGTAGTGTCATTTATATGTAGAAGGACACCCATATTCATTAAATTTATCCATAACAGAGGTGAGTTGCTCCCGGTTTGGCCCAGATCGGCCGAACCGGTGGTATCGGTGGCGGGAGGCTCTGCCCAGCTGCCCAGATGCTTCTGAGCATGCGCAAAAGTGTTGTGCGAATGTGCGAGCACACCCAAACCAATAATAAAAAATTTGGCAACCCACCACTGATCCATAACTGTATCAACCAAAGTTGAGAATAAACATCCTTTCTTCCTGATCAATATTCAACCATTCACTATGCATTTCACTTATTCTCAGATTTGTTTTTCTCCTACCATATTGACATTCTTTTAAATTCAGCAACAAATCTTAAATTCCATATTATTGTAAAATCATCCTATAATTCAAGTCTATTTACTTTATTTTTGGCTATTTCCAAATCAACTAATTTGGAATACATTTTCTTTCCCATGGTTGTACATTTCTCAAGGTCCTGCTGAAAACAAATATTTGGTTTGTACATTCTCTGTAATTATGCTCTTATTTATTTATTTATTTATTTATGGTCAAAGACACTCTCCACATTTTCACCACTGACACTTCTTGAATCTTTTAAATCAAAAGGCTAGCAAATAGAATTTGAGACTAATAATTGTGCTAAATAGCCAATCCTGTGTAATTCCCCTACTTTCAAAACTCTTACTATTTTCTTTGAATATGAATGTTTGCAACTGTTTTTATCCCATTTGATAATTGAAAATAAAATATTAAACTCATGACAGAATAACAGAATAACTGTAAATACACTTTATCATTGTATCTGACAATTTGTTCTGAATTAGACAAAATAAAGGAAAATTTTAATGTTTTTCCGTGTCTTTTATAAAATTACATTGTTCTTGGATTTTCAAAATAAAATGTTGCCTTAGAAATACCTCTGGAACGGATATTTTGATTCATTAACCTAATCAAGGTACCATTAAACAGTGCAGAGTTTTCTTCTATAAAAGAGTAACTTATTACGAGATAATTAAAAGCAATTATGTCATTTTGTCTGGGAGCACATGATAATACCTAGTTAGTATTTCTTCCGGGCAAAACATATTGTATAAAACATACATTTCAAGGAATTTAAGTTTTAGCTTAAATTTACTTCATTCCAAGACATAAAGTATATTGTTAATATTTATTTACTTATTTAATTCATAATATGAACATCCCTTGAAATATTACACCATCTCTGAAAATGTGGAAATAATGAATTCCATAATTCATTATTCATCAGCCTTCTTATAGGATGACTTGAGTTCATAACAACTCATATCTGCATTTACAAATGGAGCTCTCTTTTCCATGGAAACAGTTTATATCAGTGAAACAGAGCAATCAGATGCAATCCATTTTATAAAAACCAAGCCATTCATATCTACTTAAAATTTGTATCTTACTCATTTTCATTAACGTTAATCAAGCAGAATTTAATGCACTTAAGCCCACTGAAATTAATGGCTTTAGTAAATCTGTGTTGGACTGTGGCCAGTAGGAATTGTATATCAAACACATTTTATTTTAAAAAAGCAATACAAGCTTTATGCGTACATAAAATGAATGTACTGTGTACTATTATTAAATATTTGGCTGTTACTCAGAACCTTTTTTCTCTTGCTTTTAAAAATACATGTTTATGTTTACCCTTTTATCTAAATACTAGGCTACTAATTGAACTTTGTTGCCTAACGTTTTAAAGGCTATTTCTTGATAGGGCTTCCCACTTATTCTGTTTCTTTACCTCAGATATTTGCTTTCTTAACTACATTTGTTGTGGAGCAATTCTTGGAAACTTTTGTAGTATTTTCAATCCTACATTCTGCTCAGAACTGATTCTTTCTGCAAAACATCATGTTGCTTTTTCCTGCTCATACATCACTTCTTATTTTCTTCCTTTTTTTCTTTGTCCCCTCCCTTCTCTTTCATTTATCCTTTGTCTTTAGCCTATTCTGCAAACTTGGAGTTCTTGTCAGGCATAGGATTTCACTGTTTGGTAAGGAGACCTTGACAAATGCTTGTTTGAGCATCCCTTGTTTTTCTTATCATTATTTGCAACTCTGTGTGTCCTCTTTGCTTGCATGCTGCATGATTTGATATATCATTGATAATATTTGGGAACTAGCAAATGAAGGGAGTCTATGTGTGCACTAAACATGCAAATTTCGATTTGATTATTTACCCAGTTTTCCTGCTAAAATGGCATAGCATTTCCATAGCAGTTACTGTGGATCCTGTGTATTTTGGGGTCATGACTATTCATTTGATCCTGCTTTCTGTGTTCCCCATATCTATATATACTGTATACATGCACACACACAGCATTTGCACAGCCTCTTTTGGAGTTATGTGCCAAGAGATCAAGTAATTCCGTTGCTCTGTTTTTTTTTATAAAATAAGTATTGCATGTTTGCCTCTTGAGTATGAATAATGAAAAATTCCATATAGATTAGCAGAGTAAGTTTCCCATCCCTATTACTCACAAGGTGTTCTGTGGTGTAAAATTGTTTTAAAAGTTAAATTATGTATATAGCTAAGTTGAAAGCTTATAATTACTATTCCTGTAAGAAAAGAGAATTGTTATTGGAATCCTTCCATATTTGAAACTTAATTTTGACCAGGACTCTGGTTATTTCATAGTAATTTGAAACAGATTATTGATGAATTATTTTGATTTGTATAAATATATTAGTCTCATATAAATGATCCTAATAGGACAGCAAATGTATAGTGGTTAAAGTACTGAACTGATGCTAGGGAGACATAGATTCATGGCCAGAGTCAGCTATGCAACTTAGTGAGTGACTCTGGGTTGATCATTGGCAAAAAGATTGGCAGAGGAGTTCTCTCAATAAAAATCATTTATTTATATTTATATTTATATTTATATTTATATTTATATTTATATTTATATTTATATTTATATTTATATTTATA